TCCAGACAGACGCGTACCGTACCATCCTTTTTAAGTGCCGTGACCAATGGGCTATAATACGGCGATGCAGTAGTTCGCTCAATGACACCCCACTCTAACATGCGGTCAATTTCCTTTTGGACAGCGGGGCGATGTGCATGGGGAATTGGGTATTGTCGCTTAAAAAATGGGCTTTCATCGCTCAAGGAGATTTCGTGGAAGTAATCCTTAGTGCGGCCTGGGTTTTCCAAAAAAATAGCCTTATATTTATAAAGTAGTTTAGCAAAACGCTTGACCTTCCGGTAAGCTTATCCTTTTAATAACATCATTAAGTTCAATATCGTTTATTTTAGGTAAATTTAATATCAGGATGGTTGGGTAGGGCGCGCTAGACAGCACCCTTATGGAGACTGAAGGTATTTTGTCGTTATGGAATTTTGTCCCAAAAACTTTAACGTTGGTATCTTTAAAATTTAAGGTTATGAAATTTTTCCGTAGGTGAAGAACGGCATCAACCGAACGCAGCCAGTCGCAGCCCAAAACCACTGGGAATACGAGATTGGGTATAAAGAGGAACTCGAACGCAAAGTTAGCCTGACCTAATGAGAAGTTGATAAGTGCTTGGTTAGATATTTTTCGGAGTTTATTCGCGTCAAGGTTAGGGCCTTCAGGAGACTCAGCAGCAAGTAAGTCTTCACGCGGGTTATTTAGGATTGTATTGGTCGTAAGGTTTCTAATCCTGTCACACCTCAAAGTGGAACCTTGATCTTGAGGAGTTATTAGTTTTCCGAAGGAAAAGTGATTTCCTCGTCGACAGGATCGATGTCGCCGATAAAATTAATTTTCCGGTCGTTATGCTGAAACCGACTATTTGTTGTGCGGTATCGATCGTTTTGTCCGCGAATAAACGATTCGTCTTGAGGCGCACGATTATTCGAATTTAAATTTGGCGCGCTGGGTGGCGTAGATCTGTCAAAACCGCCTGGTTTCCGATTGTAAACATAACCCTGACATAACCTGACTTAAAGTCGTTAAAATTGGTTTCGAAATGTTCGGCAAGCTTTAATTTATCTAACGCCGAAGAAATATGTTGTGTTCCGATAAGCGAGGCAGAAATTACCGGTGGAAAGTGGCGGGTAATTAGCGCAACAAGTTCTATCTCCGAATAACCCTACAAGTGTCTGGCCAATGCAACTTGTGATAAAAAATAGTTGACATAAGACATTTTACTGTCGTATTTGCCGAGTTCAAGCTGGAGTTTAACCTTAGTTTGCCGCGTCTGATCCCAGAACTGGCTAAGGAAGACAGATTTAAAGTTGCGAAAACTAATAAACGTATGCAACAATGCATCGGCCCAAATCTTGGCTTTGCCAAGAAATAAGTTCTGTGCCCAGAAAGAGACAAATCCAAAAGGTACGTTATACAGATTTACTGCCTGCTCTAGTCGTGTAATTAAGTCTACCAGATGTATACTTTTATCGTCAAACTTAGGCAATATGTTCACAATTTTACCAAAGTTTCTATGAAAGTCATTATTTGGTTCGTTTAAATTAGGTGGTATATTATTATTTGATTGTAATGGGTTATTTAGTACGTTATTCGAATGTATAGGGCTTACATTTGGCAAATTATTTACATTATTTGTATAACCTAACCTAACATTATTTGTTATATGATTTTTGTGTATTCTAGGGTCTGTCTGCCAAACATATGGATACGGTGCTGGCAAACCCATGTTAAGAAGAGGTGCTGGGGGTACCAGCAAGTTGGTAGCCTGTGGCATGCTTGGCCAAGTAGTATTAAGCCAGTTTTGTGGTGGTGCGCTTTGTCTACCTGTTGCCGTTGTCACAGTAGGTCTAAAGTTGTACCCAGCAGCTTCGTCCAGCCAGGCTGTTGTGGTAGATGGTGGCTCGGCAGCATTATTTAAGGTCTCTTGCTCCTTGTAATTGGACCCTGATTTCGCTCTGGTGTTCCTCGATGCATATCTGGGCTTTAATCCTATGAAGGCTTAAGAAGAGAAGCCTTGGTCCTAAGTCGGGAGCCAAAGTTGTAGCGTAACAGTCTTTAAAGAAAAGTCTATACGTCTCAGGGGAGAAAAGTTCGTCGGGAATAAAACTTCTAGGCCCAGATAAGGTATTTATTCAGAAAACAAGTCTTTGTAGCAAACCGCTAAAAATACGCAAAACATTATACACGTGTTTTCAACTACCCCATACATTCAATTATATTATATTATAAGTATCAAAAATAAAGACCTACCTAAAAATACGAACAGTCACATCAATTTTAGCCCAAAATTAATATCTAAAACCAAGATATCACCGGAAAAATTACAGTGTTCAAAAGTCTCGTGTTTCGTGGGTTTGCGACGACAGGTGTCACAAAAAAATAGCGTAAAGACAAAAACCAATCTCGCGCGCAGTTCGCAGCACACGGTAAGCATAGTTGGTTGCCTACCTTAAGTAGTAATATTAAATAAATATTTATTTATTTAAGGTTTCTGCTTCAATAGATAGAGATAATAACTTTTTATAATCATTATTATTACTATAATCTGTTTAAAAAGCAAAAAAAACAGATACAATATTACATATTTTTTATTAGTTCTCTAGATTGGCTCAAAATCTCTAAAACTAGTTAAACTTCACTGGACCTGGTAAATATTTTAACATTCGAATATTTAAAAATTCTATTATTTGAATATTCCAATATGAATTCGATATTCGAATATTCGAATATACGAGTGTACACGAATATTCGAATACCCGAATATTCGAACTCGAATATTCAAATACTTGAATACTCGAATATTTGAATACTTACTCGATTTCTAAGACTAAAAAATTTCCAGCCCTAGTAGTTACGAAACTGTGTATTACTATGATAAAATATAGTATAAAAAATATGGGACTAGTAAACATTACTTAGTGTATACAGTGTTTAAGTAAAAAAGGCGTTTAAAGGTTTAAACTTTAAATACAAATGTAACATTATTATTATTTATTTAGTAAACATAAAAACAGGTAGTTTTACTATAAAAGTTTACGAGACCGTTTTTTTATCCCTAAATTAACCAAATTAAAACATTGATACATTACAATAAAATATAATATGCAAAATACATGACGTATAAGAATAAAAAAGTTAAATATTTTAATTATGATTATAATCTTAGGATTATACAGTAGGACAAACTTAGATTTTTCAGATTTTTTTTTAGTGCGATACAATAAAAGGTTATCCACGGTATTCGGCACATAATATAACAGCTTCTATAACTTTATAGTTTAAAAAAATATATTTACTGAATAAATGGACAACCATTAAAGCTACCTTTTTACAATTATTTAAATTTTATACGGGGTATGCACATTTACGAAATATATACAGTTTTTGGATGTGATTCCATCATACAGTAGATTCTAAAACAATGTATAATCGTCAAACTAAAAGACCAAGATTTTTTTCCAACATATATTGATAAGATCAATACAAATCTATAAGGCGCCGTTTGTGTCAAAATGAAAACTGCAAAATAAACTTATTTTGCTGTATAAATAACTAATTATACGCATTATTTACCAAATTATTTTTTTATTAAATTATTTATTTATCAAATTATTTTTTTGAACTTATTTTTTTTAACAAATTATTTTTTTATCAACTTATTTTTTTATAAAATTATTTTGTATGTTTCCTTTTTTGAGGGGAAATTAGTCGATTTGGTATATGATCTACGTTATGCGCATAGTCAGTTCATAAGTGGGGGGATTTAAAATATATGATACCATAGACATATTAATATGTCCATGTATGATACGAATTGTAAACTAAATTAAATTTAGGTCATATAAAATTTTATAATTATCATATTATGTAAAAGCCACTAAAAATCTCGTAAAGACAACGAAAATAACAATGCCAAAACAATTGGTATACATACTACAGAAAACAATCAAAATGGTTGATTATTAAAACCATCTTCATATTAATATGTCTATAATAAACACCTTTTTTTCGTGGTCAAAATACGACGTTGCCAAATTTTTGCAGTTATAAATATGCTATTATAAAATCCATCGTAAAATGCCGCCCTCGGCCGTTGCCCGGTTAGCCCGTACCTCGGACCGGCTCTAAATGCAATCACCCATTTGATTCTCACTTTCCTTACTTTAATAACAATAATAAACACATAAAATGATGATATTTTGGACTTAATAATAATGGAATAATGGCATGTTTATAGCAGCAAGAATTTGGCAAGGTTGTATTTTAACCACGATATTAATTTTTTTTTTTATTATAGACATATTAATATGTAGATGGTTTTAATAATTAACCATTTTGTTTGTTTTCTGTAGTATCGTACGAATTGTTTTGGTATTGTTTTTTTTTATTGTTTTAATAGATTTTTCAGTGGCTTTTTCATAATATGAATATTATAAAATTTGATATAACCTACATTTAATTTAGTTTACAATTCGTATCATACATGGGCATATTAATATGTCTATGGTATCATATATTTTAAATCCCCCACTTATGAACTGACTGTGCGCATAAGGTAGATAATAAGCCAAATCGACAAATTTCCCCTCAAAAAAGGAAACAAGTTCATCAATAAAAAATAATTTCATAAAAAAATAATTTATTAGAAAAAGAATTTCATAAAAAAATAATTTGATGTACCCAAGAAGGAACCGCTGTAAGTTCAGGCGCCATCTCACCGAGACACAGTAAATTATTTTTTTCTAAACGTTTCATTTAACAAATTTCCTTCTTAAAACTGAGCAGTAAGTATGTTTGCCTATTTAAATTCATTTGATATCACTGCAGTTGTTTAGTAAGGTTAGTTTATACTTGTTATCATTACTTATACATATTTTAAATAGAATAAGTTGCGTTTTGTTAAAATAGATTCTTAAAATTTTTAAATAGCGCTTCAAACAAGACTGTACTCGTGCAAGTACAATGGGATGTTCTGTTGTCAAAAAAGTAAAATTTTCCTTTATTTTATAGAAATGTCTGGATCATCTAAGAACTTCGTTGATGACCCAATTAAGTCCTTTGGATATTATAACTTTCTTCCTGGTGCCTTGGAAGAATTTGAAAATGATAACGACTTAGTTATTTTGCCCCCTGATGTCGACAATCTGACTGTTGAGGAATTCAATGCAAACGAGTTGATGTTTCTAGAAATGCGAACTGATGTTGCTGGAAGGATTGAGGTAGTAAAGACTAACCCTTCCGATGATCATTGGGATAGCAGCGATGACGAGTGTCTTAGCAAAAAGATAAAATTGAAAAAAAATAAGACAAAAGCAAAACTTCTTTGTACATAAAGTTGCTCCAGCATATGAAAGGTGGAATCAAACTAACTGATAAGCAAGCAATTGAAGATCTGAGTACTTTAAATCCCGTAGAAATATTTAAAAAGATTTTAGATGATTCCATTGTAAATTACATAGTTGAACAGATACTGTTATATGCTGCTCAAAATAATCGTCATGATTTTACTGTCTCTGCGTCAGAAATAAAAGTCTTTATCGCTATTTTATTTTTTACGGGATATCATAAATTACAGCAAGAAAGAATGTACTGGTGTACCGATGAAGATCTTGATGTGGAAATTGTATCATCTGCAATGTCCAGAAACAAATATGACCAAATAAAGCAAAATATTCATTTCGCCAATAATGCTAACATTGATTCGTCCGACAAGATGTTCAAACTTCGACCATTGATGGAGAAGCTTGACAAAAACTTTAAACAGTTTGATTTTTTTCATTCCAATTTGTCTATAGATGAAGCAATGGTGCGCTATTTCGGTCGACATTTGGCGAAGCAATTTATTCGTGGAAAACCCACGGGATTCGGATATAAGAACTGGGTATTAGCGGGTTCTGATGGATACTGCTATCATTTCTATACGTACTGTGGAAAAAGCACTATTGAAAACTCTTGCGACCCACTAGGAAGTAATGTGGTGTTAAATCTTTTAAAACATATTGACGACCCGTCAAAACATATTATTTTTTTCGACAATTATTTTTCCACACTAAATTTGTTTTCTAGTTTGACTGAAATAGGTTTCAGGACAACAGCGGCAATAAGGAAGAATAGAATAGGTAATTGCCTACTACAACCCTCAAAAAGTTTATCGAAAGAAACAAGGGGAACATATGATTATCAATTTGATAAAACGAATAAGTTGCTAGTGGTTCGCTGAGTTGACAATAATACTGTGAACATGATTACTAACTACGGCACCATTGAACCTGTCGGCAAATTATAATAAAAGGATGGGAGGCGTTGATCTCAGTGATCAATCAGTGAATACGTACCGTATTGCGATACTTGTTAAGAAGTGGTGGTGGGTCCTTTTTACCTACATGATGGATTTGGCATTAACAAATTCATGGAAAATTTGTTTACTTTCTGGTCAATTAGAGTTCACAAGATATATTGTACGCCATTACCTGAGAGCTAACACAGAAAAACGTCGCAAAAAAAGCTGTAAATCCTGAAAGTTTGAGGTTCGATAACACCGGACACTTTCCAGAAATAATCCAAAAACCACTACGTTGTGTAGTTTGCCACTACCGAATAAGATGGATCTGTAAAAAATGTAAAAGTACCGTGTGCATTAAAAAACACTGTTTTGAGATTTATTATACCAAGTGACTTCTTTTGTTCCCATTGTACCCGCTTGTGTGCACCATTTTTTTTCTTAGAGTATTAAAAAAAAGATTTTTTTGTTCAAATAATTGTTATTTATAGCCAAATAAAATGGTTTCACAAAAAAAATTGTTTTTTTATTCTATTTAAGTTTTGGGCAAAAATGGGTTAATAAAAAAATTAGTTGTTAAAAAAATATTTTCATAAAAAAATAATTTGATAATTTAATAAAAAAATAATTTAATAAAAAAATAATTTCATAAAAAAATAATTTAATAAAGTAATAATTTGATTAAAAAATTATTTGGTAAATAATGCATACCAACCTGTACTCGAGTTATGGCCAAGAACTCAAAAGATAATTTTGGCAACGTGTAAACACTAACAATATTACAGGAAATTATTAGATTTCATTTTGATTGAAGTAAGGAACTTATATTGTTATTATTACTGTCATAATAACAGAGACAACAATGAGACAGTTGTTGTGACTATAATACTTAAATAATAATAATTAAAAACAAAATCAAGCAAAATAAAAATTTATGAAAAAAATAACATAAAGAAGCGTGAGCAAACATTACAAAAATTGCTTGAATTGATGCCCCTGATTTTCCAAACACAATTCCAGTCTTCTTCTTGTACTAACTTGTACTTGGGTCAACATTTCTGGGGTCACAGTTGTTAAAGCATTTCGAATACGCAGTATTATGTACCGGTGTTTGGTACACCAATGCTTTAACATGACCCCATAAGAAGAAGTCAAGCGGGGACAAATCTGGCGACCTAGTGTAACAAATTATTTTATTTAAACTATGTTGCAACAGTGAAGACCACAGCGCTATCTGTTTTTAGTTATGTACACTGCAGAGTTGTCGGTAATGTAGTAGAATTATTATCGACAGAGAGTGACAGTTTAAGTTTCTAGAAGAAGAAGATTGTAACGGACGTTTTTGTTGAAAACCATTTCTATACTTTGAATACATTTTTATTTTATTTTAAACTGTGGTATTATTGAAAGGGCCATCCTGTTTACACTAGGAGGCCAAGAAACTGGTCCGTTACGACCTATCCACCTGTTAGGATACTGTTCATTTAGCCAATTTCTATCAGGAGCGGCAAAATGAGGCGGGGCACCATCCAGTTGTATCCACATGTTGCGCAATGTGGCCAAGGGTAAATTGTCAATTTCATTCGAAATTTCGTTCTCCAAAATATTTAAAAATTGATTGAAATCCCATTTTCTATGTGGATTTTCTTGGTTATAATAATGGCAATTTCTAATATTAATATACCCATCCCTACTAAAATTTGCCTCATCAGTCCATAAAATACGAGTTAAAAAATCATCACCCTCATTAATTTTTCCCAATAACTAATTACAAAAATTTAAACTCAAACCGAAATCGTCGTTGTTAAAAGCCTGATCTTTGGTGTAGTGGTATGGATGGAACTTCTCCTTCTTTAATCGCCTGGATATAGATGTCTGGGACATGCCAAGCTCCTGAGCAATCCCTCTGGTACTTCTTGTTAGATCTTCTTGAATCACCTGGATGATTAACTCATCGGCTTCGGTTACAATCTCTAGAGGCCGACCAAGGTCAGGACCTGCGGTGGGCATTAGAGATTCAGTCTCTCTAGCTCTGACCATCATCCTTCTAAAAACTCCTGGCGATGGGTGGGTTATGTCAGCGAATCTTGCTGCGTATACCCGGGCTGCTTCAGTGCAATTTTCAGTTCCTGTATACATTAACTGACCCTTAAATTCCAATTTTTATTGTAAATTTATGTCATAAATGAATATAATACACTATTTTAGGCATATTTAGGTGCGGAAAAACCAAACTTTCGCTAAAATATAAGTTTATTGTGTTAAATTCAACAAACTTTGCTTAAACCTATTCTATGTACTACACTGAATTTTAAACTGTCATAATTTCCAATGACAATGCAATGTTGCCAAGTTTAGAAATGGTAAAATTATTATTTTTTGATTTAAAATTAAATATGTATTGTAAAGGGTGTCCCATTAAGACCGCCTATTTTAAATTTAGTGTCATTTTTTTTGTGTCAATCGTACAGCGTTGTTGTTGGACAGTGGTCATGTGTAAACATTGAGGTTAAGTCATGGAGATTTACACGGACGCACAACGCATAGAAATTGTAAAAATCCCCTAACGAAATGGTGAGAATTTTTCGGAAACGGTTTAAAGATATCGTGGATTTTTTGGTCACCATAACGCACCTTCTCGCCGTACTTTGGTCCGATTATAATCGAGCAATTTGAAACGATTGGGTCAATTCAAACCAAAAAGAGACATATCCATGTTCGTGCAGCTCGGTCTGCTGAAAATATTGCAGCAGTTAGTGAAAGTGTTGAACATAATTCTTCCACCTCGATTCGCCACCGTTCCCAGCAATTGAGACTCTTTCGATGCAGTTTACAGCGAATTTTTGCCAAACACCTGTATTTTCATGCGTACAAGATTCGGTTGACACAATATTTAAAGACAGCAGACCATGCACAGCAACGAAACCATGGAATTATTGAGGACAAAATTTGAAGGCAGAGTTATCTCGCGCTGCGAGGATGTGATGTGGCCAAGCCGATCATGCGATTTGACGCCGTTAGATTTCTTTCTTTGGGGTTTTTTAAAGGAAAAGGTTTATGCTAATAACCCAAGAATAGTTCCTAAACTAAAACATGAGATTCGATGGGTCATTGATGAAATTGAGCCGGAACTATGCCAAAATGTAATCGAAAATTTTGTCAAAAGAATCAACGTGTGCCGTCAGTCACTAGGCGGCCATTTATCGGATATTGTGTTCCATATTTAACCTCCATGTCTTCCCTCTTTATTGCAATAAAAAGATCTCAACTTTTTAAATAAACACGGCATTTTTTTAAATTTTAAAATAGGCGGTCTTAATGGGACACCCTATACCAAAACAAATAGAAATGTATGTAAAAACTTTAATTAAATATTGAAATTAAGTAAGTATGCACAATATTTTTGGTATTTACGAAAATAATGATATATCTTTGTAAATTGTAGGTAGGCAACCCAGATTGAAATTTAAATTAATATTTTAAATTGATATTAATTATAATATTTTATTAAATAATAATCAAATACCAATAAATGTATCTACTTATTTAAACAATTAAATTCTGTTAAGATTTACTTTTGCATTTTATTTAATAAAAATTTGAAATTCGGAGTGAGTTAAAGTCGACCGGCCCCTAATAACCACCCAGTAAACACCAAACACTCGGCAAACAGTTGGCCTTCGCTCGGCATAGGCGGTAATAACCAGACAAACACCAAAAAAATAAAATATAAACATCAAAGTCAATTTTCGTATTGTTGATTACAAAGTTGCCAGATCATTTCAATTGTTAAAAAATTATTTTAAAACATTTAAATTAAAAGAAAATACACTTTTTCTGGCAATTTTTTTGCAAGCAAAAAACTTTAAAAAAAGATTGATTGAAAAACGTAAAAACATTAAAGAGAAATTCAAACTACTAAAACAAGGAGAAAATGTACAAGAAAAAACATTTTTTCTTATTACAAAACAGTTAAAAAGTATTCAAAG